GCAATGATTTGTTTGAAAACGAGATCAAGATGGAAGAAGAGGGACTGACAATCTGGACTCTTCGCAAAGCTACGTGGAAGACGGCCAAGAGCAGATTTACGGGCAGACTCGATTAGATGGACTTGAAACCTGACATCGCCGCGCCCAGGAATCCGGACCATGGATTGGAGCTGACTGCGCTTGGAACACCAGGAGTATTAGAGAAACTTCATCAAGATACTGAAACTCAAAAATGGTGTGCCATATGACAGCAGGAAACGAAAAAAATAACGCCAATCAGCCAATGATTGCCCAAAACCTGAGAAATCTAGATTAAGAACGTCTGACCATGTTAGCAGTAACTCATTAATCCTGAATATTCATATCGCCATTTATCGACCAGGAATGACATCTGGTACTTCCGCATGGCATAACCATCTAACCAACCCCAATGATCTTATTTCTCCATTTCCTCACATGGATAATTAAGCGTCGGATGTTTCTTTTCAAGTCCGACCAAAGAGTCATCCTCTTCGAATGGAAAGTACTGAATCACGCTAAAATGCTGTCGAAAGTACAGTGACCTTGAGACAGAGTTGTTGATGGTCATAAGCATAAACAAAATATCGATGTGTAGATCTTCATTTTGTTTCATTGTCATTATTCCGGTTAAACACTGGCCACCATGGAGGCAAACAGTGTTGATCGATTCACCCCAATCGATGATTGGTGCTGTGGCCAAGGCGTTGGCAATGAAACAGGTAGACATCTAAACATTGGTCTTCAGTATGTATCCATATTAATCGAACCATTACAACTCACTGTGACGCTAAGGTTTCGCAGCGTTTTCACTGGCGCTTATCGTAGAGGTGGTCCCAATTGGTCCAACAGCTTTTGGTCAACAAAAGTATGACTTCCAAGAAACCAGTGGTCATAATACCGGGACCAATTCCTTTACAGTTTCCTTCACAAAGATCATCCAATGGATTAAAAGCATGTTCTTTACTTTGTACATTTCAGCTTCAGATACGAGCGAAGTACATTTCATAAGCTGAAGTCACCGAATAACATGTTAAGAGAAAATCAAAGCATTACTGTGATATAATGTTTGAAAATAATGACTGTAGCGTTGCAGCAACGCCTTGCAACAGCTTTGCCAAATTTCAGGCCTGAGAGGGATATAGCGATTAATCCTTTAAGCCTGAGTGCAGGAAGTGGGCTAATCTCTGAACCAGAAAATTTTTTCCGTCATTACTTACCAGATAAGCAGAACAACAATGAATCTGGAGATGAACCGGTGACAGCTAAGAAGACACAGACATCCTCATTTTCCTGAAGATTGAATAATTCTTTCATGCGCTGGTGGATATACTGAAAATAACCTAAAATCAGTTTATTTATGCACAATACAAACAATCTGGTCAATTCGATGACAGATCAGTACTAACGTTCTGACAAGTGTTTCACGGGTCTTCTTCAAGATAGAAATGATGGGTTGGCTTCGGAAGTTCTCTTCGTCGTTGACGGCTATTCCAACGTTTTGAGTCTGAAGACCATCTACATTTGTCTGTTCATAAGCGATTTTGAAAGGCAGGAATTACAAACGAAACGCGAAAAATGATGAAATTGAACATCAATCAACAGACATTATTACCTGACTGGTGATGCTGCGAAAATTGGTAAGAGAAAGAAAACTCTACGTGTTCATCACGCGCTATCGATTCTGCTGTCAGAAATAAACGAGTGCTGGCCGCTGACGAAGCAGACAGAGAAACTGGCAAATGACATGAGCAGTATCCACTTTAAGGTTCGTCGCCGATGTATTTCCAATGTCGCTTACGTCACGTACCTAAGATTCGGCATTAGCTCACGGTGATGACCAACAGCTATCACCAAAACAAGTGGCCAAAATTTCATAGAAAAAGAATCACCTCGTTAGTAAATCATTACAAGATTCAGGATATGCTTCTATGGGTACCATAGTGATCACAGCGACTATGCTTCGACCTATTTTACTCAGGAGTACAAATCACTGTATGATTTGATGTAACAAATTGCTACGAAGCCCAATGCAACTACTAGTCAGGTGAAAAGAACATGCGCAGTTTCATGTTCAAATTGTCGAATGCCATGAAGTCAGAGTTGATCCCCTCCAACTGAAAAATAGGAGCTCGTATACAAAATCCCAACAAAGTGCTGTTATTCCACCCTATTCCTAGAACCACAATTTTGGACGCCTTATCGGCACTTTAACTGCAAAATCGACTTTACGATTTCCAACTGGTCCTAAAGGTTTGAATTATAACGAATGTCTGGTTCGCTCGTTGTTAATCGAATGCCCGACTACATAAGCTGTTTCGTTTATTTGTTTCTATTTTACCATGTTTACATACTCGTCACTTGGTAATCGTGTACCTTGTGTTTTTGGCGAAGGCAAGAATCATTGATAATCCTGTTCAAGCAGTTGGCTTTTACTTCGCGAGCTACAGAACATCTCTGCGGTAGCTTCATGCCATGCGAACCACTGATTTGCTTGTTTTCATCTATGCGCGATAAAGACATCCATTTGCCGCATCAACGAACAATAACTTAATTACGTCTGAGACACCAAAATAGGCCAGATTTTCTCTTAACTATAAAGTATAAACTTTGATCTTCAGAATTTGTTAGAACTGAACGATGAGGCAAGCAACAACAAGGCAAACCTCAACCAGGCCATGAAAATACCTCAC